CAGCAGAGCTCATTAACATTTCAAGGAAAATGCTACAAAAACGGCTTGATTTGAAAAGATCTGTTTTTGACAGTGTAAAAAAGGTGTTTTTTACACTACCATTGAGAAATTTTAACCAAACTATGTTACAGACTTTTTATTAAGACCCTAAAGAATCATATCAACTTGTGGAAAATGGGCATCCTGTGACCCCTTTACGGTGTGCGGGTATTCATGTTTTGAGGCAAATTCATTTTTTTACTTGATAGTTACACCACTAAACTAAACTTTTTAAAAAATATATGAAACCAACATAAATGCCATTTAGATCACATTTCTAAGAATTTGGCTCTTGCCTTTTGTTGCTTGATTAATAAAACCTCTGCTATCAATCTGTTATTCATCTCAATAAACGTCATGTGACTCGCTTTGGAGCCGCAACAAAATGACATCATGACCTCTGACATGATCAGAGATGAAACTGACCCGAGAAGCTGTTGGAGTTGCTAAACGTTTGCATGCTGATCCTCTGCGAGAGCCGACGGAAACCTCTGCTCCATGGCAGGTAATTCCTGAACTTCTTCCCTCCGAAGATGTGGACGAGTGGATTCAGACAGCAGTGGGAATACGCTAGAACGTGAGTGATGCAGTAGATGACCTCCAAAACGCTCTCCCACAATATAAAAATGCCTAGAGACCTCAAGGAGAAGAAGAGGAGGAAGATGTTATACGGCGCCCAGCAGATGAAGAATCCCACGGCGATGCTTAGGATGACGCATACGGCGTGGTTTCTGCTTCGGATGCGACTCTGAAGGATGGCAAATCCCATCCGTGTGTGGCAGAACACAATAACCAGGAATGGCAGCAGGAAAAAGAGAATTATCTGAGTGAAATATCCAAACAACTCCACGAATATTGAGTTATAGTTGGGAACACAGAATACACCATCAGGTCCATCCACAGTTCCAGAGAAGATCATTTCAGGCAGACTGAAGCCCACAGAGATCAACCATGCCACTGCAGACGCGATGTGCGTGTAAATCCTGCTACGATTCCCTACAGATGAAGCGAACACCGGATACACCACCGCCACGTATCGATGGACTGTCATGACTGTGAGGAACATCATGTAGCTATACAGGCCCAAAAAGATGCACCAGGTGAACAGCTTGCAGGCCAGATTTCCAAAAATCCATCCCCAAATATGATTGACGGTCCAGGGAACCAACGTGAAGGTGAAGATGAGGTCGGACACTGTCAGATGGAGGAGCAAACAATCAGCAGAGCTGCTCAAACCCACTTTCTTCAAGACCACCCAAAGCAAATAGCTGTTTCCGGGTAGACTGATACAGATGATGAGACTGCAGCAAATGGCATTGATTATCCTAAATGAAAAATTCTCCTCCTCTAATGTCACCAAAGGATAATATTCGTCATATGTGTAGTTGAAGTTATAATCATAGCTGATATTGGAGGCCTCGTGCGAAGTCTCTCCATGCATTATGCCGTCTGTAGAAACACACAGATTGAATAATGTCAAAACATTATGCATAAAGATCATATTAGAAAAAATAATCATATCAAAATGTTAGCAAGTAGTCAAGTCAACTTTTGAAGTTCAAAAGTAAATAAAATAAAGGTTCCAAAAATGAGTTTTCATAGCAATGCAAGAGAAGAACCATTTTTGGTTCCCCAAAAAACATTCGGTGAACATGTCTTAAAAGAACCATTATTTGAGCGTGAAGAACATTTTAATAATAAACTTTTTCCACAATAAAGAACCTTTTGTGCAGTGAAAGTTTCTATAGCTATTAAATGTTCTTCAATGCCAATAAAGAACCTTTATTTTTAAGAGTGTATTTATTCACTCTTAAAATTTACTGTGTATTGTTTATGTAACACTAAATTATACATTTTAAAGAATTTTTACACAATTCTTTCCCATGCAATGATTATTCATAATGAACGAAAAACACTAAACTGACCACTATAATGAAATTCAAAAAAGTCTGAAGACATGCAATAGTTTTGTGTGAGGAACAGAAAGTAAACACAGATTTTAAGTAAACATGCAAACTTATTCCTTATATAAAGGTTCCGTTTGACTTCAGATGATTTGGAAAATGGCACATGATTCATATGGACAAATGCTATGGTGCTATTCAGAGACTACTGTAAATAATGAGTTTTTTTTTTTTGAATGATCAAAAATCAGAAATGAATGCATGCATACCACAAACAGAGAGAAGGAAATAAATATGTAATACAAGAAATACCTTGGCTGCTGTGGTGGTTTGTTCCTTAAAATATCAGTGTTGTCTCTCATAGAGACACTGAAGAAATCATACATGTTCTGCATGTTTCTTCTTTCAGTCACATGAATGTCCAGCCCACTTATTTACATCAAACACGTTAACACACATTTTCTTTAACAGATACATTCATCTTAAAGTAAATCGTTGAACAAAATAGAAATAACATTTTCCAATATAAATTCTTAAACTGCTAATACAGAATGCAGAAATAATCAAAAAAGCTGAAGTTTTGCTTGAAATGTCATAAATGAAATATATATATATATTAAGACACACCCATGTGTGTTTGTGTGCATATACACACACACACACACACACACATTTATACACTTACATATTTATACATTTATATATACACACACACACACACACACACATTTATACACTTACATATTTATACATTTATATATACACACACACACACACACACACATTTATACACTTACATATTTATACATTTATATATACACACACACACACACACACACACACACATATACATATGTTACAGTTTTTTTTTTTGATTGTTATATGACATTAAAAAGTTCTAAATAATTGCTACTCAGTATCATTTTAGGGAAAAAACTAAGTTTTTTGAACTGACCGTTCCATTACTAAAATGTTTTTCAGGGAATAATAAATTCCTCATGTTTACGGTCTCCATTTTTATAGTGCTTTCAGTGTGTTCAGTGACATTTGTTTGTTGCACTTCACAAGTTTCTTGAGCTCTTTCATTCGCGTATGGATGAATCCTGGAGTCGCTGGGATCTGTTGGTCCTCTGTAGAGCCCCGACTGCCTGAGTTCAGGTGAGCAGAACAATAACAGCTCCATAAACATTGAGTTATAGTTGGGAACACAAAATACACCATCAGGACCGTCCACAGTTTCAGAGAAGATCATTTCAGGCAGACTGAAGCCCACAGAGATCAACCATGCCACTGCAGACGCGATGTGCGTGTAAATCCTGCTACGATTCCCTACAGATGAAGCGAACACCGGATACACCACCGCCACGTATCGATGGACTGTCATGACTGTGAGGAACATCATGTAGCTATACAGGCCCAAAAAGATGCACCAGGTGAACAGCTTGCAGGCCAGATTTCCAAAAATCCATCCCCAAATATGATTGACGGTCCAGGGAACCAACGTGAAGGTGAAGATGAGGTCGGACACTGTCAGATGGAGGAGCAAACAATCAGCAGAGCTGCTCAAACCCACTTTCTTCAAGACCACCCAAAGCAAATAGCTGTTTCCGGGTAGACTGATACAGATGATGAGACTGCAGCAAATGGCATTGATTATCCGAAATGAAAAATTCTCCTCCTCTAATGTCACCAAAGGATAATATTCGTCATATGTGTAGTTGAAGTTATAATCATAGCTGATATTGGAGGCCTCGTGCGAAGTCTCTCCATGCATTATGCCGTCTGTAGAAACACACAGATTGAATAATGTCAAAACATTATGCATAAAGATCATATTAGAAAAAATAATCATATCAAAATGTTAGCAAGTAGTCAAGTCAACTTTTGAAGTTCAAAAGTAAATAAAATAAAGGTTCCAAAAATGAGTTTTCATAGCAATGCAAGAGAAGAACCATTTTTGGTTCCCCAAAAAACATTCGGTGAACATGTCTTAAAAGAACCATTATTTGAGCGTGAAGAACATTTTAATAATCTAAAGAAACTTTTTCCACAATAAAGAACCTTTTGTGCAGTGAAAGTTTCTATAGCTATTAAATGTTCTTCAATGCCAATAAAGAACCTTTATTTTTAAGAGTGTATTTATTCACTCTTAAAATTTACTGTGTATTGTTTATGTAACACTAAATTATACATTTTAAAGAATTTTTACACAATTCTTTCCCATGCAATGATTATTCATAATGAACGAAAAACACTAAACTGACCACTATAATGAAATTCAAAAAAGTCTGAAGACATGCAATAGTTTTGTGTGAGGAACAGAAAGTAAACACAGATTTTAAGTAAACATGCAAACTTATTCCTTATATAAAGGTTCCGTTTGACTTCAGATGATTTGGAAAATGGCACATGATTCATATGGACAAATGCTATGGTGCTATTCAGAGACTACTGTAAATAATGAGTTTTTTTTTTTTGAATGATCAAAAATCAGAAATGAATGCATGCATACCACAAACAGAGAGAAGGAAATAAATATGTAATACAAGAAATACCTTGGCTGCTGTGGTGGTTTGTTCCTTAAAATATCAGTGTTGTCTCTCATAGAGACACTGAAGAAATCATACATGTTCTGCATGTTTCTTCTTTCAGTCACATGAATGTCCAGCCCACTTATTTACATCAAACACGTTAACACACATTTTCTTTAACAGATACATTCATCTTAAAGTAAATCGTTGAACAAAATAGAAATAACATTTTCCAATATAAATTCTTAAACTGCTAATACAGAATGCAGAAATAATCAAAAAAGCTGAAGTTTTGCTTGAAATGTCATAAATGAAATATATATATATATTAAGAAGAGCCAAACAGAACATGAAAAGGTTGGTGGCCCTTTTCAGGTCTTCGTAGCAGGTGAGCGCACACACGAGGAAGCCATTTCCAAGGATGCTGAGGCAGAAGATCGTGGCATAGCACACGCCGGTCGTCTTTCTATAGTCAACCTCACACATCGAGATTAAGACATCTTCATTATCGTACACATATGAATCATTCTGATAGCTGCTGTTTGAGTTGAACTCCATCTAGCATAAAAATAAATGAGCATCTTACAGCATTTTCTAAGCATCATTTTATGAATGCAATTTCTGATATTTGCATGATATAGAAAATTTCTAAGCAAACTAACCGCAGTCATAAAGCCATGCAACTATTGCATCTTGCATCTTCAGTACTGTAGTACAGTATAGCAAGAATGAAATAATATGGAATTCTTACCTCAAGGTCTTGGTTGACCGTGTTGTATAAGGAAAATAGTCTAAGTGACAATAGAAATCACACTTTTGTTAGTGCTGTCATTTCCTTTTGCTAATGCATGCAGTTTCACAATGAATAAACCAAATGTGGCTTGGCATTGCAGCATGTGTTTTCTGAGAAGTTTAAAAACCTTTTGGCCCGTTGCCTTTATTTTTATGTTTTTATTTTACAGAATTTTAGCAGTTCCCGTTCCTTAATGATTCTCAATAAATATTCGCAGGGAAATGCAACTGCATTGCTTCTTTTTCCATTTCAATTCAATATGAATTTTACACAATTCTTGCTTGAGGTATGAGTACAGACTTTTAATCGCTTTTCAAAGTCTTTTTAGAGGCAGGATACATAAGTGCAACTAAATATCAGGCTTTTATATTGTTCTAAAACTATATACTATACATATAAATGTATTCAATTCATCCATGTTTACAAAATTGCTATTGATAAAATGCATATTTATCAAATTGTCATATGAAGTACTAACTTGATCATCTACATTTGATAAATATGTGTTTGATTCACTAAAAAACAAACGTTGTTAATAACAGTACATTATCTTGCAGTCTCACATCGTCATTATTTTGTTTGCTGTTGCTAATGGCACATACTACACCTTTAAGACATTGGATTATTAGTCTGCACATGGAAACACAGACAATTTATTAACAATACTGCACTGTTTCCATATTAAAGCATAGAAATGAAGCTAAAATAAGTCACCTGAACAAACTTCACTGTCGTCTTTTGTTCTTTCCTGGACCGTCTGATGTTGTAGGACCAATCAAATCGAAACACATACCAGAGGACCACACTGAATCAGCCAACCACCCTGCGGTTAAATTAACCATTTAACCAAACTAATTTTTTGTGACTCATCAAAGTAATGACAGAAGCAGTTCTCAGAAACATTCTTCAGTGAAATAGTTCATGCACACGCTCCAAAAGAATTCAGTTTGCCAAGTCTGTAAATAAATCAGTTTAGGAACTTTGGAAAATGTGATTACTCATTATTTAAATACAAACCAAAAACATTATAATTATTATTGTTGGTGTTTAAGAAAAAAATAAATTCTAGTAGCACATAATGTGAAATGCATGGATGCATAGAGGTTTTGTTAATCAAAGTTGCTTGCAGGAAATACCCAAATAAACCTCAATGATAGCATGAGGCCACAACAAACATGCAGGCGTTTTTCATTGGATTTTTTTACTTCCAAAACAGAACTTACACTATACGGGCATAATCTTAAAGGGGTCATGATGCTATTTTAAAGAGCATTATTTTGTGTATTTGGTGTTGACATGCTTTAATGTTCAAAAAACACATTATTTTTCAAATACTGTACATTATTGTAGGTCCTCTAGGTTGTGGGAAATGTAACGCCCCTTACCATAATCGCAAGCTTCAACTTTCAAAGTAAATCTCAAGACAGTTAATAATGTTGTTAGTTTTACCATCACTTCAAGCCCGAAAAGCAAACAGAGTCTCGTGACAGACACAGTGATGATGCAGTACACAAGCCGCGGTTAAGACAGCTGACCTGCTGTCAGACTTTGTTCGGTGTTTTGTGTGTCTTGCTCCCCATGTGCCTTCCTATGCCCATATTTGATTAGTTTCCTGTTCCTTTCCTGATCAATTAAGTTCATTTGTCCCAGATGTTTCCCATGATGTTTCATTACTCCCAGGTGTGTCTCGTCATCCCTTCCTCCTGTGTGTATAAATAGGGTTCCCGGTATTGTTTGTGTCTACCGTGTTACGTGTGATTCCCCGGGAAGATGATTAAATTCCTTGGTTTCTGTACTCTTGGTCTCCTCGTTCCGTGTTCCCGCACCGTAGCAGATCGTGACAGAATACCGGACCAAAAAAGTAAGCGGCACCCCCTCTCCCCATTTTGATTTCCGTTTTTTTTTTAAAGTTTTTGTTTAGTTTTTTTCCCTGTGCGTTCCTCCACGTCCCCAAATGGAGGAACGATTAATGTTTATCACGTTGGCTCAGGCGAGCCCAGACCCCATCGTTTTTGCAAGGGTGTTCGTGCCGCTCGCCCTCACCAGCTCCCTCGAGGGAGAAACCTTCGCAACGCTATTCCAGATCGGAATGACATTCCATCATCCCACGGAGCTCCCAGACACCACCGACCTCGACTGGAAGGAGACAGTCATCCGGTGTCTGGAGAGTCTCCGATCCCGATCTGGAACCCCTCCGCCAGCAGTTCCCAAGTCAAGAAAGCCGGCCGTTCCCGAGTCAAGTCAGCCGGCAGTGAATGTGGCAAGCCCGCCATGCATTCATGAAGCCCCAGAGCTTGCTCCAGTGCGAGCTCCTCGAAAGTGCTTTGCTGTGCCTGCTCCTCCTATGCCAGCACCACGTAAGCGCTATCCTGATCCCCAGGTCGGCCCAGGAAGGGCTCCTGATCCCCAGGTCGGCCCAGGGAGGGCTCCAGATCCCCAGTTCCGCCCAGGGAGGGCTCCAGATCCCCCATTAAGCCCAGGGAGGGCTCCAGGCCCCGTTAATTTCCCCAAGTATTTTTTTTTGGGGGGGAGTAGTATGGCTCCAGCCGTAGAGGCGGGGCTGGGGCCACTGCCTCGGAGGCTGCTCCGCCTTGGCCTCCCGAGTCCCCAGCTCCGCCTTGGCCTCCCGAGTCCCCAGCTCCGCCTTGGCCTCCCGAGTCCCCTGCTCCGCCATGGCCTCCCAATTCCCCTGCTCCGCCATGGCACCTGGAATGGGTACCGCTCTGGAGGCCCACTGTCCCGTGTCTGTCCTGAGGGACCTCCAGAGTGCCCAACCCCCTCCCCATTGGATGTTATATGGCGTGAGGACACGCCTTCCGGAGGGGGGCGTTATGTCAGACTTTGTTCCGTGTTTTGTGTGTCTTGCTCCCCATGTGCCTTCTTATGCCCATATTTGGTTAGGTTCCTGTCCTGATTAATTAAGTTCATTGCTCCCAGGTGTGTCTCGTCATCCCCTCCTCCTGTGTGTGTATAAATAGGGTTCCCTGTGTGTGCTCCAGCGTCCGGTATTGTCTGTGTCTACCGTGTTACGTGTGATTTTTCCCCGGGAAGATGATTAAATTCCTTGGTTTCTGTACTCTTGGTCTCCTCGTTCCTTGCTCGGTGTTCCCGCACCGTAGCAGATCGTGACACCTACTATGATTTCTGACAGGCAGTTCACTCTCCTGTGACGTGACCTTGTTCCCCTCTCTCTCTCTCACACAAACACACGACGCGTTACTCTGCGCAGCGCAAAACTCCGCATTTGAACAGTCAATAGCAAATACTTAAACTAATAACAAAACATACTTACAGTCGCTGATTCAGAAGCGCCAGATTGTCATAGCAAAGTCGGAATTGACTTTTCTTTCTTTTTTTTTTGAAATCGCCTTTGTGCACAGCCAGCCTTGTACTCTTCTAGGTTCAAAACACTGTTCTCCATAAAATGCGTTGCACAAATTCGAACATCTGGAATGTGCTGTTCTGTTGTAAATAAATCTTCCTAATTGCATCTACATCCGGAAGGCGAAATAAAGTGCTTTTGCTATTGCACTGAAACACACCATCTCCCTGACATGGCTGCATCAACGCTACTGCTGTTCCTGAAACCATGCCTTCTTTCTTTGCGTGCACATTTGGGCAGAATTATAATAATATTTCCACATAGTGATGTAGATATGTGGGGGCATGTTAGAACAAGGCGTTTTAGCAAGGAGTGGTTGACTCTTAACTTTTATAACGAATATCTCTTTGGATTTGAGACTTTAGTCTTTGAACTTTACAGATCTTCTTTATGCACCAAGAGCTTGTAACACTCCAAAGAGAAAGGAAAACTTGAAATCGCATCATATGACCCCTTTAAGATCAGGGTAGAGTTATTAGGTTAGTCCTCACCAGTGACAGCACATCCTGACATGTTTCCTACCTGATTTTTAATTTTTCACCATGTTCACCATGGTGGTTGTACATACCCTTTCAAAAGGTACTGATATGAACAGTTTAGGGAATATGTAGGCCTAATTTAAAAGGTGACAGTGTTGTATCTTTTTTCAAAGAGTGAACAAAGTTGGAGGACAAGGCTTAGAAAGGAGAAGCTGAGATTTCAGATGTAGATCACAGAACCACTGTATATCAGGAAACCAGCAGCAATGTTGTTGGGTGCAATTTATTTTTATTGTTTATGACCGTTCTAAAATTAATGACCGAAGTAAGGCCTAGTTTTGCAGAGAAATAGCTAATTTAGTTAATCCTAAAACATTAAAAAATCAGAACTGTTGAAGGATATATGATAATGATTCATTCAGTTTAAGTTTGTTTTAAGTTCTAAGTGTAAATGTGTTTTCAGAAACACTGGGAAAAAATTGGTGTAGGAAATATTTTCAGACATAAATTGCTAGTATTTTTCAAAATACATACAACACACACACACACACATCACTTAACATTCTCCAATATTATTTGTTTTTATTTACAAATGTATGAACTTAATCAGAGGAGAAATTGCATATGCTATGCAATAAAAAAAATCTATTTTTTAAAAATGTTTTGTTAATAAAGCTGTTAATCTAAAATCCATTAATCCAACAGAAAAAATTCAAAAAATTCAAATAATGTGAAAAACCTGCACAAGTCATGTTGTTTAAAGTTAACAAATACAGTAAATAGCTAACATGTTCATGCACTGTATAAACACACCAATTTATTTGTTCATCATTTGTTGCGTCAATTATTCATTTATAAAACAAAGCAAATATACAATGCAAATCAGTTTAACAGTAAATATATA